AATCAGTTCTATTCACTTGAGAAAGATAGTCAAGTACAACTCACTTTTTGTTGTAAGAATCGTACTTACTACACACACCCGAAACTCCCCCTGAGTTTCTTCCCCTCTCACAATGAATTCTACTGATCAAAAAACCTCACAACATAAATCACTCACCAAAGAGAAGAGATTTGCCCAATCGGTCTCCCTCTCAGACTCGCACTCCCCAAATAATGAGAACACACTCACTTAACGAAATAGACTAAGAGATTATGCTCATGCTCTCTATCTCTTGATCTGCATCTTGTTTCCCTTATATAGGCTCCTCCGGTTTGCCTCAGATCTTCACCAATTGATTTGACAGACTTCACCTTGATTCTTGTTGATTTCGTGTCTATCTTCGGGATTTTGCCTTATCTCTTGTTATTGACTTTATCTCTTCAGCCTTTAACTTCATCTGAATCTTGTCAGTTGTATCTCAGATTTGCTCAAGTGCAATCTTCGCCGGATTCTTCTCCTGAAATCTCTCATAGGTTGTTGGTCCTGCAACAACCTTTCAACAACCAAAACAACACGTGCAAATACTTGCACTAACAATCTCCCCCTTTTTGGTTATTTCAGATCATGCACACAAACACGAATCCTTCAACTGAATTCATCCAGGATCAAGACAAACTGACTAGAGTTATCAAAGCACATGGTTACCAAAAACAGACATAACACTTCAGTTCAACACTTAGAATCATCAAAAGCATGAAAAGTTTAGATCATAAGCAAACGAAAACTCAAAAACGAAGTGATGAGTCATCGGAAGGACTCCTGGCTCTTCTAGCCTTCCTGCTCGTTCCTGACTTCTTCAATACCTCCACTTTCTTAGGAGTTGGTTTAGGCATCTCAGAATCATCTCCTTCTTCCTCCTCTTCTGAGTCTTCTTCCTCTGAATCTAGGTCTCCTTCGGCTTCCTCAACTTCTCCCCCTGTGGGCATGGATGAAATAATCAAAAACAGTAATATTAAGGTGAGGAGTACCTGAATGAATAATGAACACATTACTCAGAGTTGCTTCAACATATTCGTGGACGGTTGCACGAATTTTTTGACAATGACAGTGTGTTGCCTGCTTCCTTAGTCCGAGCTCCATCTTGATCAGTGCTTTCTCAGCATCCTTGAGAGTCTCCAGCATCTTCTTGTAGTCCTTCTTTCCTTTTCCCTTCTTCCTTTTGATCCTTGACTCAACCACCAGAGGTTTTTGGATTATCTCAGTGTTCTCCTTTGGATCAATGAGTTCAGGGCACTGCTTAGTGAGTATACTCTGAATCAAGCATGGATAGGGTAACCTGAACCTTGCTCTGAAGTTCAGTGCTCTATCCAGAATGTGATCAAAGATCATACTTCCATAATTGATCTTGATTCCCTTCTTCACGCAATAGATGAGTATTGCCAATCTCTTGTGGATCAGACTCGATCGCTGAGTTGGTAACCAGTTGGATCTGGCGATCTTGAACAGAACTGAAGATTCGAAATTCAGGTCTACTGGAGCTATCTCTTCTTTCCTCTTCTCGTCATAGCTATCAGTGAGTGCTATTTCCAGTTCCTTCTGATCAATCTCTCTATCCAATTCGTCCATGGTTGCCACCACTGTGTTCTTCAATCCTAAGAACTTGTTGATCACTGCTGGAGAGAAGTGTAGGATCTTTCCCCGTATGTACACTCGATGGTACATCGGGTCTCCCGCCCTCACAATCTTCTTCGAGAGGTTAGCATAGAATTCCTTGATCAGAATTTTGCTATGTGGGCAAGCATACGTGACTGTTTCTTCTAATCCTAGTGCTCCTTGAAGTTGCTGACATTTACATTTCTCTCAACAATTGTGTTGAGATTCTTCATGTCATTGAATCTTTGTTCGGACTTTTCATCAACAAAGTGATGAGACATACAGAGGCTTGCCAGTAGCTCCTCATCTTCTGATCCAGAAGGTGAACTGGGTGGTTCCTTTTCTTCCTGGATTTTCTTCTTCCCCTTCATCTTCTCTTTTCTGTATTCCTCAGAGACTTTTGAGGCTTTTGCTGGGGGCATATGTTTTGCAGCTTCACCTTTCCTTTTCACAGCTTTCTTAGGTGTC